GGTGCATTTATTCTAGTAGATCTTAAAGAAAAGTCACTGAGCAGTTCCATCAGTCATGCATGAGAGTATGAAAGATAGAATTGAAGTAAAAAAAACCTGTTACTCCCACACTGCACTGGAAAGAAATACAAACTGTTTATGATAGTGGAGAGGGAAGCTGGAAAATCTCAATTACTGCTTTGGAAGTGAAGTGAGCTGTTCTGGAAAATGCAGCAGCTGCATCCCCCAAAAACTGAACTGAGAAACAATGAGGTGTGTCCACACCATCTCAAATCCACTGGATTGTCAGGAGCTGCCAAATGGAAACTGTGTTATGGAATTGTCAACCTTAGCTAGAAATGTCGGGTTTCTTTGTGTTTGTTCTGAGTTTTCTGTGGGTAAAGCACAGGAAGGAATTCCTGCAGCTCCTGGAGCACAGGCTGGGACAGCCAAATCCTGGGAAAGCTCTGCTGCTGGCCCCATGGTTCTGGGATAGTTTGGTTTTGTTTCTTACTTTATATGCAGCCATAAATGAATGGACACAGCTATAAAGTTGATTAAAGAAGGGGCTTAATTAAGGGTTGTAATTAAACTAGTGGAGGAAATGACAATGGAATTGAAAATTCAGAATGAGTGATGTAAAGGCTGATGGTGTTGAGGCAGTAATCTGTATGAAATAATTGATTCTGTAGCCATTAGTCTTTCCTAATGAGATTAAGGACGAGGTGGCACGAGCTCACTAATTAATTTGTTTTGTGACTTTGAAATGTGGTGTAATGGCACAAAAGTGGTGATTGTTTAACACACCAAGAAGCTCTCAGACTGCAGGACAAACAGCATCAGGGTAATTCCGTGCTCTCAGCTGTGACAGGGTCCAGGGTAAGGTTTGGCTGAAGACAGAAACACCAACCCAAACGTCCTGTGTGCTCCAGCCCCGGAGATTCCAGCAGAATCAGCTGCACAGCTTTTATTTCATCTTTCAGCAGAGGCTCCCCGGGAGCTGCTGGGGAGAAATTCTCCACCAATTCCCCCTGGGAGCGAGTGGGGATCTGAGAGGAGCAGGATTTTTCTGTGCTGTGGGTACTGAGTGGCTGAGCCTGCGTTAGCACAGCGCAGGTGATGAACCTGTGGTGTCTTCAGCCTGAAAATTCACAGTGCTCCCAGTCCAAGGCTTGTCTGATTGTCACCTTCCTGTACGTACCAGGGCAGTAATAGGTTGTAATAAATTGATTGTAGACAGTAAATAAAACAGATCAGCTTGGTTAGAATTAAATATGTCTTTCTCTGCAGACACCCACACAGTGCAGAGCTGCAGAGCTACTACACATTGTAACAGTGCTGATTACTTCACTAATGCTGAGTATTTATACTCACGGAGAGGCAAAAGGAAAAAGACACATTAAAAGCAGAGGGAGGTCAGGAAAATCCTTTCAATTGGAGAGGAAAGATTAAAATGTGTTTTGTGAAGGATTTATTGAAGTATCTTACATTACAAGCTCCACATTTAAGAATTGCTTCAGTGGAGTGATCTAACTTACAATTGTTGGCATTTTCCTTCCATGCTGAATGCTCCTGTCCCGTGTGGAACCTTGCTCCTGATGCTTTGATCACCATTTCCAGCTTAGGACCGAAGTTAATTGCTGAGCAGTTTCTAATGTGCAGTTAGAGACCAGAGAAGGCAGTGGCAGCATCTTTCGGATGGGTGGATGTTCCAAGCAGGCTGGTTTGGCTCCTGTGTGGTTTGTGTCCTGCAGGGCTGTGGCAGTGCCCAGCAGGAGCCTCAGCCTGGCCCTGCAGCTCCTGGCAGGGATTTTCCTGGAAAGGCTTTGCAGATCTTCAGCAAACTCTCCTCCTGTGCTGCAGCAGGGAAGGGTCAGCTCCTCTTGCTGCTCCTCTCACCTGGAACTTTCCCTTAGAGTGAAAACTCTAAGGAGTAACTCTATAATCTACAATCAGAACTCTGTATAAACTCTATAACCAGAAGGTTTTGGCTCTGGCAGGATTTTTACCTGCATTTATAGAGACTGCAGATACCAGAGCCGTACATTTGTGAAACTGCAGGGACCTCTTTATCTTTTATACCCAGAGAGCCCTAAGGGAAGGCTGGAATTCCACAGGAGTGGTAACAGCTCTCAGCAAAACAACTCCTGGATTACAAATCCTGTGCTTGAGCACCAAGCTGCAGCTGGGAATTTGCATTTTCAAGGCTTGTGCCCATCAAGCATCCTTTGCAGCAGAGCAATCCGTGCTCTGGATGTGCTTCAGTGCATTTGTTTGTGTCTTTAAGAAGCCATGCCATCCCTCAAAACCAAACGTGGGGAACTTGCAGAGCATGAAGTGACTTCTCAAAATAGATCTTTCCCCAGCAAAAGGCTCTGTCACCAGAGTTCTTCAGCAGCCAGGCTGCACCTTAATGAGTCAGACAGGTTCCAGGGAGGATTGAATTACGATCCTGTTCAGCAGCCACCGGCTCTGCTCAGGAAAGTCATGAATAAATAAAAGCTGTGAGCTGCAGGCCCAAGCCCAGCAGACCTGAGAGGATCCATCCTTTTCTGAGCGATTTCCCGTGTCCCACTTGATGCTGCCATCGGAATTAGATTTGTGCTGATGAAGACACCAAGCATTATGTAAGTAAAGGCATTTAAAAATAGGTGGCAATGTGGGGGTCTGGGTGGAAATATCTGTCATTAACTGCATGCAATCTGTTCGACTGCGACCTCTGATATTCAGCTCGTGCACACAGGATGCATTCAGATGCCTCATGCTGTGTGTGAGGGACACTGTCCAAAGGGATTTTTAGAATTCCATTTCAGGGAGAAAATCAAGTCTTTGGAAGGACTGATTCATGGTTATCATGGTCTCCCCTGCTCTGTTCCAGAATGGGTTTTAGCACAATCCGGGCCCCAGAGCGTGTTGTGCTCCCTTGGTGCAGGGACGAGGGGATGGGTGGGGCAGGTTTGGGGTCCAGCAGCTGATCTGGGCTCATGAACAGAATCAGGGTGTGGAAGGGAGCTGTGTGCAGCTGGGGAACGGGGCAGGGAGCTGGGAGATGCTGCTGGGGATGGCTGGGACCCCTGGCCAGCCCAGGTGCCCGGGCAAGGGGGAGCTGCAGGAGGACATTGGGGCACTTTGGGAAGGTTCCTTTGGCTCCGGGGGCAGCACAGGGATGTGTGTGAGCACTGCAGCCCCTGGGGGCACAGAGCTGGTGCTGGGGGACAGGGGCAGCACAGGGATGAGTGTGAGCACTGCAGCCCCCGGGGGCACAGAGCTGGTGCTGGGGGCAGCACAGGGATGAGTGTGAGCACTGCAGCCCCCGGGGGCACAGAGCTGGTGCTGGGGGACAGGGGCAGCACAGGGATGAGTGTGAGCACTGCAGCCCCTGGGGGGACAGAGTTGGTGCTGGGGACAGCACAGGGATGAGTGTGAGCACTGCAGCCCCCAGGGGCACAGAGCTGGTGCTGGGGGAAAGGGGCAGTGCTGCTGCTGCTGCTGCCCTGAGGTGTTGAGCAGTTTGCAGGGGCAGGAGGAGGATGCAGGAGCTGTTCTGCTGCTGCCTGTGGTGCTGGCTCTGGGGATGCTCTGGGGATGCTCTGGGGATGCTCTGGGGATGCTCTGGGGATGCTCTGGGGATGGCTCTGGGGATGCTCTGGGGGCTGCCCCCAGCCCTGCTGAGCTCCCTCCTGCCCCTCCAGTGAAGCCACCCCTGCAAAGGTGGGGGCTCACCAGAATTTTATTGGCTGAGCTTAATTAGCAGGTCTTTCTACTGAGGTTTTTTATTTTCTAGTTAGGGAAGCACAACCCAAATCAAACATTATGGGAAGATGCCTCAATGCTTCAGAGCCCCAGCTGCAGCACAATCTGCTTCCAGACCTGCTCTTCCAATAGCTCTAGGCACTTTGCACTTGCTTATCCTGACCTGGATCTCGCAGGAATGTGAGGATGGAGCTGTGAGGACTCAGTGGGAAAGCGAGGACAGAGCAAAAGTTCTCCCAGAAATTCACTGCAAAGGTCCCTCTGTGTTTAAGGAACTTTCCCCCAGTTTTTGTGGTTCTTGAGGAAGCGGCTCAGAACGCTGTGGGTGGCATGGAATTGACGTGGTGTGAGGAAGGGAAGCTGCTTCTGCCCGAGGGAGGAAGAGCTGTCCTGGATCTTCCCTGGGTTGTGGAGCTGTCACCAGCTGGGATCCTACCAGAGATCCGGGGGAGTTCTTACCCAGAGTCTGCATTTCGTCTCTCAGTGATTCACCCTCTCCACTGACTCACTCTGCAAATGCTGCTTGATTGCTGGCCAGAACAAAAAATGCTTAGCAGAGAATTAAGTAGATTTGAGCCATCCCAAGCTGAGGATCTTTTCTCAGAAACATGTGGACTTCAAAGGATATTGGCATGAAAATGTAGTGGATTTGAGGGGGCTGTTCCCAAACCTTTCTGAAAAGGAATTTGAGAAAGTTGTCTTCACTGATTCCATCCAAAAAGATTTGAAATACCAAATTTAAAGATCCCTATTAAGCTAAGGAGCACTGTGAGCTGAGTGGGTGAGACAGCAAAAACCCTCCAGGATTTCTAATGGTGCCTTGTATTAACCTTTGTTGTTGCTATAAAGAGAGATTCTGGCAAACTTGCAGACTGTAGTGAGAAATATTGGACAGAATTTTTCTGCTTCCTTCTATGTCCTTACATTTCTTAGAGAAGATATTGAGACTGATTTCCACTCATTTGCCCTCTGAAATTATTTTCTTTCAGCGTTCCAGTGATGATACCATTTAAGGCTTATTTTGGAGTTCTTGGTTGGGTTTCAGTCTTGTTGCCTGCCATGACAAAAACGTTTATTCCTCAGGGCTGAATCCACTGATTTAGAGTGGAGTTTATTGTGTGTAATGGATGATTGACCATCAGTTTCCTGCAGCTTTTGGGGGCAGTGCAGGGAGGATGATGATGGGGAAACGCTGCAAGGGGAGAGCAAGTGCAAACAGCCTTGTAACAAACTGGCCACTGACTGGTTCTGTTTCATCCTGTGCAGTTTGGAAATGATCCAGCATGTCTGCAGCCTGCAGCTCCACAGAAAATATTTGATCAGACCTGGTTTATAGAAGAGAGCCAGATTTCCCAGTCTCATGTCACCACCTTAAACCCGAGGCTTCATCTCTGGCAGCTTTTAGTAAGTCCTGGCTTTGTTTTTACAGTTTTGTGGCAACATTTGAAGGGAAGTTTTGCTTTGCAATCCACGCTGCTGCTTTGGTTCTGGCTTTTGTTGTTTGCATGGGCATGGTAGCAGAGGGGTGGGGATGTGTGAGGGGAGATTTTGGGAGGGTTTTACCCCACCCTCCTCAAGGCAGGTTCTCTGTACCAATTCCTAAACTCCAGGGCAGCACCTGCAGGAAAGCTGTGAGCTTGTGATGCAGCCTGAGCCTGAGATGAGAGTTCAAAAGGCAGAAATGTGACAGAAATGCTGCCAGTGGCAAGTGCTGCGTGCAGGAATGCAAAGTGCAGGATCCTGTGCACAGTCTGTGCTTTAATCAGCACATCCCAGCCTGGTTTGCTGCATCCCTCCTGGCCTTGGCTCCGAGTATCAGCAGAGGGTTCTGCTTGGATTTCTCTGTGCTTGCACATGTTCTGATTTCCAGGCACCTTTTGAATTTGGAGAAGAAACTTTTAGAAGGCTCGGTGAGTTGGGTGGTCCCCAGCTCCTGGTGCTGAGTTCTGAGATGTGGTTCATATCTCACCTGTCACCTTCAAAATGCTTTGCAAACAGTTGCTAACAGAATAATTTAAAGAAAGTTCATTTAAAAATACCATTTTTAAACTTTGCATTCTCACTTATTCTTCTTTGTACCTCACTGACCTGAAAGTAAAGGCTTAAAGCTCTGCTTTAAGGGCCTGATGTTTGAAGCTCGAGGTTCTAAATTTGGTGCTGGATTTATCCATTTGAAGGATATGAGTTTGATTGCATCAGAAGTAATTATATTTAATATGACAAGAGAAAAGTGCATAAATGTGATATTTTGAACGGCTGTTAATACCTTCTTTGCATCTCTGCTTGTGAAAAGGATAATTAGATAGCAGTGACGTGAACTGAATGTTAAGGTGTGCTGAAAGACATTTCTGGTAAGGAAGAAGTGCTGTCAATGGTTTAATGCCTCAGCAGGAGGTGTTTGGGGAGGGAGGGTGAGTTTGCAGAGCCAGGCCCAGCACCCTGCCAGAAACCCAGCCTGGGGCCAGTGGGGATTTCACCATGATTTCCTTCCCACTAATAATTGCTGCCTTCAGGAGACACGAAGTGTTGCAAAGCAAAAAGCTTTGGTTTGGCTTTGGGTGTTGGGAAGAGAGGAGAGGAACGATTGTTTGCTGCTCCTCTGAGTCCATCCTGCACTGCCCGTGCTGAAATGTTGATTTTCTGTGTTTGAAGGAAAAGTTGTCTCCCAAATCTAATGCTGGTGAGATCTCCTCGCTGGCTCCCATTGAAATTCCCTCCCAGGTGGCTGCACTGGTAAATGTTTTCCTTTCTCAGTGGTTCCAGACACCTTCAAAGCTTTTACCTGAGAGGCAGTGGGTGGACCAGGGGAAGGAGTCGTGCTCAGCACAGCAGGCAGATAATGAGCTATATAAATAATCAGCAGCACATTTTAAAGATGCTTATATGGAGCCAAAAGCATCTTGGCCTGAGTTCCCGAAGAGGTATCTGAGACTATTCATTCCAGCAAGGCAGAGAGAATTTAACTCTTGCTCTGAGTTCAGAATTCAGAGGATGCTGTGAGCTCTGCTCATGGAGGAGCAGAAGGTGACTCGCTTTAAGGCCCCTCATGAACGTGTTCTGCAGCTCCCTGGCTCTGCTCAAGCAGCAGATGACATTTGGTGTCGTTGCCATGAAGATTTGCAGTTCATTTCCCACAGGTAAAACCCCAGAATCAAAGTGGCACAGGCACACAGAGAAGATGAGTGCAAACACTTCAAACATTCTGCTGTAACATTTCAGCTAACAGAAGATAAAATGCAATTCTAGAGCTAACCCATATTTGTACAGATAACTGGAAGATGCATTTGAATGGGATTTGATCTTTTGCAATAATCCCAGGATAATGGGGTTGATGGAGAGTTACTGGGATGGGGAAACAGGGCTGGAGCTGGGATGGGATGGGATGAGCCATTATCTCTCCATGGGCTGGCTGCTGAGGGCAGGCAGGATTCCCCTGCCCTGGCAGGAAGCTCTGAGCAGGGTTTTGGGCTCCCAGCTGTCACTGAAACCCTCCCAGGTTCTGCCCACGAGGCTCTGCTGTGGTTCTGTGCCCGTGACCCAGCCTGGGGCTCTCCTTGCACTGTTCTGGCTGACTGAACTCTGGTTTTTTAAATCCCATTTGTTTGTTTATGGCTGTGTGAGCACATTCTCCTCTAATTGCTGACTTGTGTGTCATTAAAAATGGTCTTCATTCCTTAAATGTAGTTCAGCTTTCCAGGTGAGGCGTTGACAGGTGCTGGCACAGCTCTCCAGGCCTGGTCACATCTCAGAGGGGACACTGCTGCACGCTCTGGGGCAGATAAAGGTCAAAATTATATCCAGAGAGCAAGACCAGCATGAATGAAAAGGCTGTTGAGTGTGGGAGTTAGTGAAATATATAAATGTGGCAATGAAATCTGCACGTGGCCATCCCTTCATGGAGCTGTCAGTACCTGTTGACACCTTAAAGGAAGGTGTTCACACCCTGTCTGTGGTGTGTACACATCAGCACAGGCATCAGGGGCTGCACTCCACACAAACAGCCATTAGCATATTTTAAACTTTCCTGCCCTGGCTGCTTAAATACATTTGCATTAATAGAAGGATGAGACCTACTTCATGATACTCCCTGCATGACAAAAGCTAAAAATAGTTCTATTAGAACTTTGGCTGCAGCTCTGCGAGATTTTAGCAGTTTGGGGGAGAGGAAAACACTTTTGAAAGGTTATAATTACTGAGTTATGTGTTGTTGGGTTTTTTCCTGAAGTATACCAAAATAACAGGAAGAAATTGGGACGAGCAGGCTTTTTTTGTGCCGTGGCATTTCCAGGGTTGCAGCCTGGCTTCCCACTTGAGATGGGGGTGGGCTTTGCTGGTGCCCGCTCCCAGCAGCTCCCCTGGGCAGGGATCCAGTGCAAAGATGATTGCACAGGGGGAGAATTCTCTTCTGAATGCACAAAGTGAGGAGCTAAGCCTACCACTGCCTGATGCTGAAAGGAATCCAGCACGGAGTAACTTCATGTGAGAGTGTAAATTGTGTTTGAATAGCTGGCAAGTTAAAAATTCAGATGAATGTCCAGAAAAAGCTGCGGTTTGAATGCAGTTTCCTGTTGTGGTGGGATCTGAGATTTTAAAAATCAAAACAATTCCTGTGTGGCAGCAGAGCAGCCCTGGAACCCCGGGCGTGCTGTGCTGGAGGAGGCGGAGGAAGCCAGGCTGCTGTAAGTGCAGGAAAGGGTTAACACACCTGGAGCTGGGATGTGCACAGCGACCTGCCAGGACCTGCTGCTCCCGGCTGGGAGGAGGGGAGGGGTCAGGGGTGGGGCTGCTGGGGCACCGAGGGGCCAGCACGGGCGGGAGGTGAACACCTGGAACAGCTGGAACAGCTGGAACTGCCTAGGAACAGCTGGAGGTGCCTGGAACTGCCTGGAACAGCTGGAGCAGCTGGAACAGCTGGAACTGCCTGGAACAGCTGAAGGTGCCTGGAACAGCTGGAGGTGCCTGGAGCATCTGGAACAGCCGGAGCAGCTGGAACTGCCTGGAACAGCTGGAGCAGCTGGAGCAGCCGGAACAGCCAGAACAGCTGGAGCAGCCGGAACAGCTGGAGCAGCCAGAGCAGCTGGAACAGCTGGAACAGCTGGAACAGCTGGAGCAGCCGGAGCAGCTGCAGCAGTTGGAGCAGCCAGAACAGCCAGAACAGCCTGAGCAGCCTGAGCAGCCTGAGCAGCCAGAACAGCCAGAACAGCTGGAACAGCCAGAGCAGCCAGAACAGCCTGAGCAGCCGTGCCAGCCCTGCCAGCCCAGCTGGGACTGAGCACAGCCAACCCAGCACCTGCCCTTGGTGGCAGAGGAAAGGGAGCAGCTGTGAGAGGAACCTCGTGGGCAGCTCCTGGGAACGGCTGCTCTGCTCCCCTCGGGAGCACTGCTGGATTCTGCAGGTGCTGGGGGGTTTAACAATCACCTCCTGAGCATCTTCAGAGGGAAAGGAAAGCAGGCAGGGTGAAAAGGAGATGGTGCTGTGGAAGATGTGATTTAAATGTCCCTGGGTGCCAGAATGGGAGGCATCAGGGTGATCCATGACCCTGGCAGGGAAGATGGAGCAGAGTATTCAGGTGAGCTGCTGGGCTGGTGTGGTCTCCAAAGCCCTTCTAGGATTCTCACCAGGATTTCTGACAACCAATGATAATTTTCAGAGACTTTGTTTGGAGTATTTCAGCCTGGCTAAATACCCCATGAGAGAAGTTTATTCATATTTTTGAAACGGCCTTTGAGACCATTAAAATCTGGCTTTGAAAGCTCAAGAGAACAGTTTTTATACCCTTATTTCTGGCATGACGTTTTCTGTTTCAGCTCTTAGGCTGGTACTACTCCATCAGTTGGCTTCTAGTAGAAAACACGGATTGATTTGATTTTTAAAGGCAATCAAGATCTTTTAAATTTCAGAATTTTACCAATCCAAAGGCTCAGTTCTGAGCTAATTGTATCTCAGCTGTGATGTCAAAGTTTTCCTCCCTGTTTCCATCCTCAGCTGAAGGAGCTCTGTGTGCTGCCCACGGTGGGGACAGTTCTGAATGCAGCTAAAAGCAGAATTTCTGTGCTAAAACCCTCTGTCTGCTTTTATCAGCACTTTTCTCTATTGGCACAGTGATTTATGAGACAAGGGAGGATGTTTGGCACACTCTGGCCTGTATTTCCCTGCTAATCCTGCTATTCCTGCTCTCCAGTGTCTTTGGGATGCAGCTGGAGGAGGAGGAAGGGGCACAATGCCTGCCCAGCCCTGGGGCTGTGATGGGAGCCTGGGCTGGCTGTGTTAGCTCCTGGTGCTGGGACAGGCTGGATTTGCAGGTTTTGGGGAGCCTGGGAGGGCTGTGTTAGCCCTGGTGCTGGGACAGGCTGGATTTGCAGGTTTTGGGGAGCCTGGGAGGGCTGTGGCAGCTCTGGGGCAG